TGTGCTGATTGTGATGGTGGTGGTGGTGTGACTCAGGTCATCCTTTGTTTTCTTTTTCTTTTTGCATACATCCACACTACAGTCTAACTAATTTGTTACGTGTTGCGATTTTATCTTCTTTTTTTTGTTTCTTAATGTTAATGTGTTTTGTGTGTGTTTTTGCTCTCTTTGTGTTTATCCTATAATAATTATTATTGCTACTCCATTGTGTGTATTCTTGGAGACTCTCTATGTGTGTGCACCTGGGCTTGCACTGTGATAATAATTTTGAATTGCTTTTTGCAATGAGAGGTAAAGGAAATATTAATAACAGATGGATTTATATTTATAATTGCGTATATACACACATATATAGACGTATATCTTTAGTAGATGTAATTCTGCTTTTATTGGATAAATTGGGCTAATGATTAATACCTTTGTTTTTTGCTTGAGTGGTTTGTTGGGGGTGTTGTGTTTTTTGCCCTGCACCGTTTTGGTATTTTGTTTTGTTCAGAAGAGAAAAATAATAATAACTGTTACACAGAAGTTAATGTTTTGCTATGTTGACCAACGAATTAAGAGCTATATTTTGGTGTATTTTCTTCTCTTGTTTGGTCGTACGTATAATTTATTAAATCATTATTTCTCTTCCGTGTTTTTTGAGAGTTTCTGTTTAGCATTGGGTATTGTGTGTTTTGTTCCTTTCATTTGATACTATTTGAGTGATTGTTATGGCTTTATGTTTGTTGTCTGTGTTTATATATATTGTTGTTGTTGTTGTATGGCATTGAATACCTTTTGTCGGTGTTTCTGTTTTCTTCTTTTTATTTCTGCAGGTCAGTGACACCAGAAAAGAAGAGCAAAGACTGTCATGATGCTCTTGCGCCACGTGCTGTGTGTGTTGGTTCTCTCCTTCTCTTGTGTCTGTGGATGTGTGGGAGCTGATGCAGAAGGTGACGTTCTTCAGGAAACTGAACTTGCTCCCATTTGCAGTGATGCTTCTGCAGACAGTAATTGTCGTGGAGAAAAAACACCTGCTGCTTCAATTAGTTCACTTGATCTTGGAACATCTAGGACTCCTGGTACTAACACTGCGTTGAAGCAGGAGCAGATTAATCAATTGGAAGAAAACGAACAGGAGAGAATGCAAGAAGATGATGACAGAAAACCAGGCCAACCTGAAGGAAGTAAGGTTCAAGACAACTCTATCATACCTAATTCCTCTGGAAGAAGTACTACTGAAGATAATCATGAGCTAAGAACAAATCCACCAGAAGTTACTCAGAGTTCATTGTCTCAAGCTTCAGACGCCCTCCAAGTACCTCAATCTCCTTCTTCATTCTCACCTCCCAGTTCAGGTTCCACACAAGGAAGAGGTGGTGGACCTTCACATGTGCAGCCTGGCAACAGTGATCATCCTCAGGCTGCAGAGGATAAAGCGGCTGACGACAGTAAACGGGAGAACCCGTATATGACTGATACTGAACAAGAAGAAGAAAAGACGCAGGAAAATCCGAATAGCTCGCATACTACTTCCCCTTCTGAAACCAATACAAATAATTCGGAACCTCAGGAGAGAAGTACTTCACAGGACCAGACACCCGTTACACAAGATTCTCAATCAGACACCAACACCCGTGAGTCTTCTAACGCGGACCACACGAACACTGACACTACCAATACACCCAGCAATGATGAGGAATCAACCTCAACCTCCACCACTACCACAACAACAACAACACTTCCTCCTGAACTCGCAAACAACAAGAAGGGTGATGCAGACAGCAGCAGCAGTATCAGCAGTTCTGTGTGGGTACGTGTGCCACTACTGATTGTGGTTACACTGGCCTGTATTCTTGTGTGCTGATTGTAGTGGTGGTGTGGTGGTGTGACTCAGGTCATTCTTTGTTTTCTTTTCTTTCTTTTTTGCATACATCCACACTACAGTCTAACTAATCTTCTACCTGTTGGGATCATATTTTTTTTGTTTCTTAATGTTAATGTGTGTTTTGTGTGTTTTTGCTCTCTACGTTTATCCTATAATTATTATTATTGCTACTCCATTGTGTGTGTGTGTGTTCTTGGAGACTCTCTATGTGTGCACCTGGGCTTGCACTGTAATGATGATGATGATGATTTGTTTTTTGCAGTGAAAAAAAGAGAAATATTAATAACAGATGAATTTATATTTATAATTGCGTATACACACATAGAGACTTACACCCATAGTTGGTGTATTTCTGTGTTTACTTGGGTAAATTGGGCTAATGGTTAATATCTGTTTTTTGTTTGTTTGCTTTTTGTTTGCTGGGTCGTTATGGGCGTTGCTCTGCGGCAATGATAATGGTGAGTCATTGGAAAAATAAGACAGTAACAGACAAATATAGTATGAATTTCATATTAACTCAAACATAAGCAACGTTTGCTGGATTGTGTGTTTTTGTCCTCTTAAGTTTTTTTTTGTTTTCGTGGATGTATGTGTTGTTATTTATTCCTTTTTTTATTTTTTCTAATGTGTTTTGACTTATTTGTTTTGTTTTGCTTTATTCGTATTTTAGACTGTGTTGTAATTGTATGTTTCGTTTTTTGTTCTTATTTGTTTCTTCACTTTGCAGTTAAGTTTTCCTAATCAAGAAGCAATATTTTGTTGCGATGATGATGTTGTGTCGTTTGTTGTTTTCTGTTGTTTTGCTGTTGATCATGTCTTCTGTGTGGGTGGCGACGGACGTATCTGCTTCTACTGGATCAGCTGCAGGGAAAACGGGTGATAGAGGTGGTCCAGGTCCTAAAGGTTCTTGTCCTTCTGCTGGTGAGGGAAATGAAGTTACTTGTCCTTCTGAGAGTGCTGATACTTCTTGTTCTCATGATTCCAATGATGGTGGTACTTGTACTCAAACCTCAGGGAAAGGGCAGAAACCAAACGTGCGCAGTGCTGCACCTGGTCCTGCTGGTGAAAGAGGTGAACAGGGTCCTCCTCCTCCTGCTACTGATCCTCATGATCCCCAAGGCGAACGAAGTCTTCCGGGTCAAGTGTCTGTGGTATCGAGTTCTTCTGGTCTAGATCTAGGTGGTCAGGCGGCAGAGACGTTAAGAGATCAGCATACAGGAAATGGTTTGAATGACCGAACATCTGTGGGAAGTGTCAGCAAAGGTAAGAAAGCTGACACAGACAAAAACGAGCAGGAACAAGATGAACACTTAAGGAATACTGCCAACGTAGAACAGCGTCCTCCCGCTGGAGATAGCACAAAAGCGGATACATCTGTTTCCCAAACTGATGCAAGCAGTATTACACCATCAAGAGGGGAAACTGCTGGTGGTTCGCACTCAGAAGACCCTTCAGCTCCCACACCCCAGAATACAGGTAATACTCCTTCTAACAGTTCAACTGTGGATAATGCTGTGAGTTCAGATGCTGCAAAGGATCTGAGTAACGCTGCCACTTCATCTGCAGAGAGTGAATCAACAAGGAACCAAAATGGAGAAGGCGCAGGAGGTACAGAATCAACCACCAACACCACCACCACCACAACAACAACACTTCCTCCTGAGCCTGCAAACAACAAGAAGGGTTATGCAGACAGCAGCAGCAGTATCAGCAGTTCTGTGTGGGTGCGTGTACCACTACTGATTGTAGTTACACTGGCCTGTATTCTTGTGTGCTGATTGTAATGGTGGTGTGACTCAGGTCATCCTTTGTTTTCTCTTTTCTTTTTTTGCATACATCCACACTACAGTCTAACTAATCTTCCACCTGTTGGGCTTATATTCTTTTTTTTTTTGTTTCTTAATGTTAATGTGTTTTGTGTGTGTTTTTGCTCTCAATGTTTATCCTATAAT